TAAATGCATTGTTTCACCTTTCATCTGGTCATTAAAGTCTTTTGCGTGTTTTGCAAACTCATCGTCCTTTCCTAAAGCATTTTCTGACTCAGTCGCAACCAAATTGGATGCTTTATTTATGAGCCCTATTTTATTTAATCTTAACTTCTTTGCAACCCAGCCTCCAATCTTCCCTTTATTTGCATCTAATGTCTTCGAAACCCTTCCTCCACTCATTTTATTTACTGCGTCATAAGCTCCAAGTGCTTTTGCTCCAAATGCTAATGCTTTTGTTCCCATTGCGCCTAAAGCTGCCCAAGCTACCATTTACCCCATATTAAAATCATCTCTCTTCAATATTATCTCATAAAAGTTCTCGTTACTGGAGAAAGTCAATGAAACATAAGCGTTCTCACGGGCTTCGCCCTCACCGCTTTGCGGTCTATCTAATTTCTTTCTTATATCATCTATACGCTTCAAAATGTCTGAACAATTGCTAACATCTTCTACAACAGTTATTTCATCATGAATGACCTTTAAGAACAAGCTCATTTAATATGCAATTAAAATCATCTCAATAATGAGTCCATCCTTTCCATCTTTAGGTAGCACAACATCTTTCATTGAAGAAGGTTCGACAAGTCTTATGTTAAACTTACTGACAAAGTTTGTTATACTATAATGCTTCGGTGGCGAATACATGTAGTTTGAAAGACATAATATAGATTCTTCAGCAAATTCACTTATACTGGATTTTATAACAATGTTCTCACGAGACCAAACGCCACCAATTGACAATCTTGTAAGCAATCCTGCTGAGCCTTCAACTGTAAACGTCGATGGTAACATTCCACGAAGGTCATCTATTGACATCTTTGAGTCACTGAATTTAAATATTTTCTTAAAGCAATCGTCATTATCTAACCATGCAATAGCTTTGAAGTTTTCATTCGAATATACATCTGCTTCATTAAATGTAAAACCTGACTTCTTTGCAGAGACGACTTTAAAATCTATTGAGTTTGTTTCAAAATTATATGCTATGGTAACTTCTGAAGGTAATGGGTGTCCTTCTGCTATAAGTTGTTCTTTCAATACCATTTGAAGCTTTGTGTTAAAAACTTTCATGTCATCTCCTGTATCTAAGTTCACATACACAGCAACAGGGAAACTATCTTGCTTCTTTGTTTCATCATTATATCTCAAAACATTAAAGTTCTTCAATAATATTGTTCTTCCTGCTGGAATACTTCGAACCTGTCTGATTTCAATAGCTTTCTCACCTCCTACATACTCTACCCAGTGTCTTGGATATTCATAAGTATACTGACTTTCTTGAATTTTGGTTGGTTTCATCATAACGTGTTCATAGTATATCTTTATACTCTTGTCAGTTAGACTCGGTGCTATGTTCTGAATATTTCTGACTTGCATTTTTAATGGAGATAAAATGAAGCATTTAATACATGACGTAGATGAAGACATGAATGAAACTACAGACAAACTTAACTCTTCTCTTATTCTTCCTTTCAGCAAAGATTATGAGTTCTGTTCAAATGGTGTGTATTTCTATTGTGGAAAGATGGGTTCAGGTAAGACATTTAACCTCATTCGTCATATACTCATAACAGAGCGTTTAGGAAACGACTCTTACTATGACCAAATCATTATATCAGCAACTTCAGACTCTATGGATTCAACAGCGAAAACATTCATGAGTAAAGTTCAAGCATCTGTCGTTAAAGTTCCAGATAGCGAACTCATTGAATTTCTTCAACGTTACATTCGACGTAAGAGAAAATATTATGCTATTGTAGAGTTCATACAGTCAGGAATGCAAAAGACTTCAGAAGAGATGGAAAGAATTATTGACAAACACCACTTACGTCAGTACTCAGGAGTTTACGATATGAAACGACTGACAAACTACATTCTATCAAAACTTTCAAAATACCCCTTCAAAAATATCCTTCAAACACTCTGCTCGTTTGTGACGACTTCGCCGGAAAAGGTTTAGTGTCAAAGCCTGACTCACCATTAGCTAACATCATAACTAAAGTCAGACATTACCATTTAACTGTAGCAATACTTATGCAAACATGGCGTTTCTTGCTTTAAACATAAAACGTCTCATAACTGACTTCGTTATCTTTCAAGGTTTCTCACGTTATGATATTGAACTCATTTGGAAACAGTCAGGTATAACATTACCTTTTGAAGAAATTTGGGAAGCATATAAGTCTCTCATCTCTCCTCGTTCATACCTTGAGATTCATATCATGACTAATACCATTAAAGTCAAAAATATTCCATGGGAACGACCAACATTGTTTTAAAGTTTAACCTTCAATTGACTGATGGTAAACAAATTCCATGCATCTCTGTCGCCATTTCTGTTAATATTTTTGCTGTCATTCATATCATCCACTTCCCCATCCGTTAGCTTTTGAGGATATGCGTTAGAATAGCTGTTCTTAAATGAAGGCTTTTCACCTTTGAGAGCATAAACTCTATAACTTTCTGCATACTTTATGTTTGAACCTCCTGGGCCATCATTGACATAAATTTTTATAGGCTTCCACCCTTTGTTCATATTCCTGCTTCTTCCCTTTGCTCTTTTGTTCAGTAGTTCTACATCTTTATACACAGCTCCTGTCTCAGTGAATTCAACAATATTTTCATTCGTTAGCTTTACATTCAAACCCTTGTCGAGTATATTGTTCATTTCATACATATAAAAGGTTTTTATTCTATATGAAATGAGAAGCAAATCCATCTTAGCTGGTGCCGTTAATGTTCCAATTGAACCAACATCAAATGTTGACTCACGAACGACAAACAATATTGTCATAAAGAACTATAGTTCGGAGTGTTTGAAAGAAAAAGAACCAGATCTTAAGTCGGTGAATTTAAACACAACTTCAAACGCTAACGCTACATCAGATGTTAAGTTAGAGTATCCACCACTGGACCAAGTTCTTTCAAGAGAAGCCAACGACAACCCTTACACAAATGTTCAAACAAATCCATCAGATAACGTAGACCATTACCTTCTTCAGTTATACCAAACAATTTTACTCAAAGACGATAAGAAGCTTTTGACAAATCTTATAAGAAGAACCAAATAATTCTAACAAAGGAGGACCTTGAAAATATTATATCACGAATAACAGGAAAGCAATGTGTCATTGACTATCTCGACCCTGAAATCGAATGCTGTGGTCAAACGCCAATATTCATGAAAATAGGTAACATCCGCATCATTGAAACACCAGGAACTACAGGAGTTGAGTTTAAGTATAAATATTCGAACGAGTATACAAAACTATCTACTTACTATAAGCTTTGTTTGAAATATGTTTTAGTAAATTAAAGCAATTTGTAATATCTATCCAAAACTTCTTCAACAGTATCGAACTCATCTTCATAATGCAAACCTAATCTTATTGACTTGGTGCAGTTTTCACTAACACAATATTTTTCTGTTCTCTTGACTGACATAACTAACTCATTTGTTTCATCAAACAGCAACAACCAAAGTTCATGACCTAATACATAACATTCATACTTTATATTTTTAGCTCTGAGTTCTCTTGTAAGCTGTTGCATTTAATATTTTCTAAAAAGTCAACTTCAACAGTCATTCGCACTGGTGCCTTCAGTTCTACAGGCTCTCCTTGAAAGTCAACAAGTCTGAATTGCATGTCTTTCAAATTATGAGGACTAATGCGAACCCATTTACCTAAATGAGTTGCTATGACAGGAACGTTTGGAATGAACATTGAATTTACTTCATAACAGAAGGATTTATATTCTACTGAACCTTTACTATTAACTCCTGAAATACCTGTGACATTAGCTATTTTTGACTCAATGTACAAACAATTGCCATAACATACGTATGGAACAGATTTCATCTCAATCGTTTTGTCAACACTTTTCAAAGGAAATGTCATATGGTATGCTCCCAAAAGAAGTTGTACTCTATGACTCATTCTTGGTATCTTAAACTCTTTCGCATAACTGAACTTCAAAACTCCTGCAATAAGTTTAACATTCATTAAGTTTTCTCCGTTATCCTTGTTTATTGTAGTATTTATGAGAGCATTTAACACTCCAGCTAATGTTTCCATCTTATATTCTACATTATTGTGAAATCTTATTTCGTGCTTCTTTCCATCTATTTCAAGCTCCATGAAATCTGTTTCGTCAGTTATAACGAATGAAGCAATAGTATTAAAGTCAACCATTCTGAATGCAAGTGGCTCATTCTGTAGACCTAAGTTTGTTTGTAGTTTTACTGTCCCGTATTCGTTTGGGTCTGTACTTTGCAAATAGAACAACATTTTATTCTCATTAAAATATGAGTATAGCTGCATATGCGTATGAAGCTGACAGAGCTAAACGTTTATATTTTGGTCAATACTCTCTCACACTTACTGACAAATATATTGTTATCAGTGATGGAAATACCGAGAAATACATAACATGGAAGGACTATGAAAAGTTTGACCCCATTTTAACTCCATGCACTATGCCATTATAAAATGGTGAATGTCATGAAGAAACACAACAGTATATAAGTCTGTTATGAAGCATTAGAATATATGTTGAATTATAATCCCGAAAGATTTGACCCAAGCACTACACCATGTACAATGCCTTTTATTAAGGATGGTGAAATCGTAAGAGTTCCGGATTCAACGGTTTACACAGCTGTTCAAAACAGTTTACAAAACATTTTAGCGAATATCTTTAATTCAGAAACTACAGAAATAAAATTACCATATATAACAGATGCTAAAGAAATTAAATCAAAAACGACAACATTATTTACGTCACTTAATGATTTAATGACTTATATCATTAATATTCCTGCACCAACTATAGCATTTGATCCAAACTCGACGGTTTGCAGTGTACCTTTCATAAATGACAGTTCATTAATTACTTTAAGGGATTCGACAGTAAATGAATCATTAAAGGCGTCATTAATGAAAATCATTGATTTTAATTCATTCATGAATACATATAATTCATTCATTAATGTTTCATATGCTTCTAAAGAAGGTGAGCCAAAAACTATCGATAAAGCGGTGTATGAAATAAAAGCATCAACGACGAAATTGAATTCGTTAACTTTTGACGGTGATAGTTTCGTTAATGACATAACATCGGGGAAAACAATTTTAACGAAAGAATATTTAAAATCTCATGTTAGTGAGTTCGTTGAAATTGAAAAAGAAGGTGGAATTAAGTTCGATCCACTGAATTTCATTTTCAGCTTAGCGAATGCGGGTGTTAGTTTCGCTGAATGGACAACTATACAGAGTGAAATAAATGCAATATGGACGTTTTTGGGGTCAAAAGCGGGAATGGGTGAGCTTGTAAATGCTGCAAGAACATTAGGTGAAACAGGAAATTTTGTAGATGGTTTTAAAAGACTTGTTTCAAATGTTTTAACAAACACAAAGAAATTATTTAGATATACCGTACATAACGGACGGATTTTCGAACAGATAGCAACAAACCCTCCGGTTATGGCTGCGTTGATGATGGTTAGAGATATAAAACCACGTAACGACGGGAACGAAGAACATGAACAACAGGATACTGGTCGGGTTATTCGAGACATTAAAAACGTGTATCCTGAAGTTATTGATTTATTTAGAGGAGTTAATGATTCAATTTCAAAACATTCTATAACCCTCGATGAAGAGAATAAATTAACAGATTATATATTCGTCATTATTGCAGAATTAATGAAGAGAATAAATGAAAAAGGAATTGGTGATATCATTAATGTCAGCGATGTAATGATGAAAAGAAATTTTGACTCATTATTTACAAAACCGAAAACAGAATATAGTCTTTATGACGTAATTACCGAATTAATGAAAAAGATTAATGATAATAAGAGTTCTGGCGGAAGAGTTGAATTAGAAGTGAATGATGTTAATGAGAAATTAGCCGAAAAAGCAAACAAAAATGAGCTTTTAGCTCTGAGTGATAAAGTCAAGAACCACGTTCATTATATAACTTCAGACGAACAGATTATAACGAACTACCATGGATATTTAACACGAAGTGATGAAGCGAAGACAAAAAATGTTAATGAAAGAAGATATAAATACATTCGTGCTAAAGGTTATGACATAAGCTGTACTGTACAGTATGATGTAGCTAAAGCACCAGAAGCATTTGGTTATACCGGTGAAATTTATGCCTCTACTTTCAATGTTAACGGTGTATTAGTTGAACCAAGATTTACTTTGAGAGTTAAGTCAAAAATAACGTTTGAAGATGCTATTAAAAGTAAAGCTGACAAAGTTGAACTTGAAGCAACGAACAAAGTTTTGAAATCTCATAAACACAACATCTCCGATATAAATGAACTTCAAGCTACATTAGACAGTAAAGCCGACAAGAACCATACACATAAATCCTTCACTACTGTTAGAGCAGACGACATAATATTGAACTATACCCTTGGTTCAAGTGCACCTTTAGAGAATCCAAGTACAAGCGTAAAAGATACACTAAACAATTTAGATAACAGTTGCAGGAATATTGAAGGTCATGCCAGAAACTTTGAAGCACATGAACTACCAGCAATGTTAGATAAGAAAGCCGACAAAACTTATGTAGATGAAAATTATGCAAAGAAGTCGGAAGTAAATGCTGCGCTTAATGGAAAAGCCGATAAAGAGCACGTGCATGAAGAATTTCAAACAATCAAGATTAAAGAAATTAAGGCATGCATCGAAATAGTAACAAAAACAGGAAGAGACGGTGCAACTGTACAAGAACAAAGAATTTATCCTCCTACTTTTCCTAATGGTTTAATAAAAACAATATAAATATTGTAGAAGGCAATAAAACTATAAACGTTAAACATGAACTTCTAACAATGAAGGCCCAGATTCTTGAAACCATATATCCTATAGGCTCTATTTATACGTCAATGAACTCAACAAATCCGGCAAGTGTTTTAGGTTTTGGTACGTGGGAACAGATTGTAGATAAATTCCTCTATTGTGCGAACTCTTCAAAGCAAACAGGTGGTTCGAAGAAAATTAAAGAAGCAAACCTTCCACCGCACACTCATACAGGAACTACAAATACAACAGGTAGTCATTCACATTCAATAACAAAAAGAGGTTATACAAATCTTGCAGCAGGTTCGGATAGACAGGGAATGCATAGATATGATATTTCAAGTGACCCAGTAGATTCAAGCACAGGTATTTTCTGTGGAACCACAGGAAATCATTCACACACTTTCACAACAAATCCAACAGGCTCGGGTGCAGATTATATGCCACCATTTGTGACTATATTCGCATGGTACCGCGTTCATTGAACGCGCTTGAGCCTAGAATAAAATCTTTAACTTTACATAAATGAGCTTGAAAGAAGTATTCGAACAACATCCATGGAGGTCATTTAAGAAGTTCAATGAAGCCGCAAAGAGTTGGGGATTTACTAACAGAGCTGAAGTGAAAAGGTTCTTTGACAAAAATGTTGTACATCAAACAAAAATAAACCCTTACGACTACTTTTTACCAATTTACTCCAACACTCCTGACGCATACCAATTTGACACTCTCATTCAAAGCAGAAAAGGAGGACATAAACCATTCCTCATCTTCATTAATGTTAACACTCGCAAAGCTTTTGCGTATATAATGAGAAATAAAGGAACTCGTGAAGTGTTAAGAGTTTTACAAAAGTTTGTAGCAGAACATAGCCCAAGTACTTTAACATCAGACCAAGACAGTGCATACCTCAGCAACGAAATCACAGAATTTCTCATTAAGCATAACATAACTCACTACACTACTGAAGACCATAACCATAATATTTTAGGTATCATTAATCGCTTCATAAGAACGCTCAGAGATTTAAATCAAGAGTGAGACTTTACCGAAGAAACAATGAAACATTTTCTCGAAGTATATAATTCCTCAACAAATTCTACAACAGGACATACACCAAATTCAATGACACAACAACAAGAAGAAAAGTATATACAAAAGAAACGAAGCCAAACACAAAATATCAGAAATTCAACACAATTTACCCTCATTCCTGGTACAAAAGTTCGTGTAGTTCTTGACGACAAACCGTTGACAAAGAAACGTTTAAGGTTAAGTCGAAATTATTATATCGTAGACTCTACACAAGGTAATGGATATCTTATAAAAGCTGCTGACGACTCTATTGCGTTTTATCCTCGTCATAAATTAGTCGAAAGTAGTAATGGCAAACTTGCTGAAACCATTGACGAAGCAAAGCGAGGAGTGGTTATTGAAATACTTAACTATAACATAAACGATGACACTTATAAAGTAAGATATGAAGGAGGCGTTGAAGATGTTATACCATCTAAGAACTTGAGAGAGTCAAAGCCAACACATCTGGGACCATTAGAGCGGGAGTACTGGAAAGACAAAAATAAGCCAGAAAGAATAAGAAAATTCTTCTAAACTTTTTCATTAGATGTAAATCAGACATGAATGAGAACAGTCATGATATCATTAATGGTACCATTTATTTTAACATAAACTTTATTTATGTTAGAATGTTAGATCTAACACGTTTTCTAACCACTTTTCTAACATGGTCTAAAACTCTCGAAAATCATGAATTTTTGACATTTCCTTATGAAAGAAAAATAACGCTAATTTTTTTCTAAGAAAAATTTTTATCTTGTATGTAAAGATATGATTTCAACAATAGGTTCTACAACACTTCAAACAACAACTTCACCAAACTCTTTAGTTATGAATCCAACATCTATGTTAGTAGAGATGAAAAGCTTCATTCCTTCTTCATATACTTTTGAGACAGAAATACAAAGAATTAAGCAAGAACTTTTAACAAGTAATTTAGACTGTAGTGCGAAAGATGAAACAAATGAACAGTATCTTTATGACATGCAGGATATTATTGACCATTTACCCAAATTGCCTGAAATCCAACAACAAAAGCTCACTATTCATGAATTCGATGAAATAGAAGTGAAACCAACTGACTCAGTAGAAATAAAGAAGTTCATACGTAAAGTAAATTATGAATTCCTTGGTTTTCATTGCAACCATAAAGTTATGGACAAAGATTGCGACATGGTATATAAGAACATCTCTGACATACATAAATCTGGGGAGTTTAAGACATACGACAACTTTGTTTCATTAGTTGCTGAATGTGTATGGCAGATAAGAGATAAAGATAAAAGATGTAAAATATGGAATGGACAAATAAAACCAACAACTTTTGAGTTAAAGAAAACCATTGACGCCTTAGTTGTTCTAGCAGGTCAAATTTCAATGTATAACGCAAAAATGAATCCGCAATGTTCAAAATGTAAAGCAGCAATGAGGAAATATAACTACTCCGTCAAAGAGATAGAACGTATGAGAAACGACTATGCTGACTTAAAGAAAGAAGTAGAGAAACCAGCAGAAGATAAAATGGACATGTTAGCATTTCTGAACAAAAACTATCCAACAGCTGACGATTTCCTATTATCTGATGTCAAGAAGAAATATAAAGAAACCTTCGGCATAGTTAAAATTTTTGATATCCTTCGTGAAGAAATAGAAGCTACAAAACTGTTTAAAGTCATGAACCATCGCAACATATACCATGTAAAACGCTTGTAAATAGTTTTCTTCGATGTTAGAAAAGTGGTTAGAAAACGTGTTAGATCTAACATGCTAACATAAACATTATTTTTTCTAAAAAAATTTTTATCTTGTATGTAAAGACAGTAATGTCAAACATTGAGTTTGAAACAGTTAGAAAGATAGACAATGACACCAAAGTGGTTAGAATAGGTGATTTAAACGTAAGATACTCAAAGAAATACAACAAATATTCTTTGTCAGACATTATAACACCATCTGGAAAGAAAACAAACGACTGGGTTAGAAATGCTTCAACTCAGAAAATTTTGACAAGAAATCCTGAGCTTATGATATCAGTAGCATTTCATGGAACAAGAGCATATCTTAGGCAAAATCGCAACCGAATTTTTAAATCTCGATCGCAAAGAAAAATTTCGATTTTTTATAAAATCGCGAACTTCTGAAAAATTGCGAACAGAAAAAAATCGCGATTGTTTTTGAAATCGCGTTTTATTAGAAGTACGCGATTTTATAAAAAATCGAAATTAGATTAAAATATAGCGTCTAAAACCAAATTGCGAACAAGTTATGTATTGATTAAGAAAAATATATTTAAGATGAAGAATTGCTTGCTATGATGTACTGATTCATGATCAGTACATCATAGCAAGCAATTCTTTACATGAAGTTCGAAAACTTGGGTGCAATCAGATCTGATTGCACCCAAGTTTTCGAACTTTGTATAGGGAATTAAAGGGTGAGAGATATATAGTCTATCTATATATCTCTCACCCTTTAATTCCACCTCTGTAAGCGATAAAATTTTATCAAATATTTTATACTACGAGAAATTATGGCTTTGTTTCAGAGACGTATTGAATTTACCGATTGTGTTAAAATGAGATCGCTTAATCTTTAAATTTATTAAGTTAATCAAATTTTTGATTAAACGCAACGCTGTTTTGTGAAATCAAAACGATAAATATTCAATGCAAACGCACCTGAGCTATGTTCCTTTATTGCAGCCATTAAACATTTGTCTGGCTCACAATTTGAGAGCACTTCACCTAAATAATGCTATAATGAAAATTGAATTAATAAAAATCGTTTCTTCAAATAAACTTCACAAATATATTATCATTATGTGAATTTTTACTTATAAAATTAAATACATATTTAGTTTCTAGTATTTTTTTTCTATTGTCATTCAAAATATAGCTACAAAACGAAGAACCATAATTTTGATAAACACTAAATGATAATATGATTTATAATATAAATAAAATATTTTCAAGTCCAATAAATCAAAATTGATATTTTTAAAAAAACTAATTAAGAATTCAGTGATAATTTTATCAAATATTACAAGACAATATGATTTATAAGCAGAATAAAATGGGGAGAAGCTTCCTAAACTTTTTAATCCCATAAATATGGTCATTATCTGGAATAAAGAGTTAAGCGTCATATGTCACTTTTTGTACTAAGGAAACATCGACTTTATGCGTTATGACTTTTCGATGAGGAAACAAGTGTTCACGTATTATAAACTTCCTTATTCCAATAAACCGACCCTAAACATAATTAATTCTAAGCATGATAATGGTCTCTTTTCTATGATAACCAAATCAATTTGGTTATCATAGTAAAGCACCAAAAACTGGAATAGGAATCGGCAATATGGAATCATGAAGCAACTCGGATAAAATAAATATGGAACATTCATACATCCATTCCCTATTTTTAACCATATTATATTTTCAAACAAAATTCTCGTACTATTTTCAATAAAATTTGCATAACCTTGTTATTACTCTTAGGCGAAAGATGATTTTAATGTTAATTTTATAGAAGAACTTTTAATGCATAATAAAATAACCATTTCCTATAAATTTAGACTTAAAACGGTGACAATAAACAAGCTTTAGTCTAGAAATTAATTTTCTACTACTATAAATGCATCTTTATCTTTAATTAGAAAAAAATTTATCAATTTTATTATCCAGATGAAAAAAGAAGTGACATATGATATTTTATCTAATTTAAAATCTTTTATTGATTGTTTTTAAAAACTTTGCATTTTGTATGAGTATTTCATGTTTAAATCAGTATAAATACGCAAAATACTTATGAAATTCCAGCTGTTATTCAGTATTATTCATTTTTCAGCAATCATTAACTGTGGAAGAGTATGGCAAACGTTCGATAATGATCATGTATACTCAGATCATCAAGAATGAATTAAAGTCAATGCAGGGAAATGGATAATCCGATTAAAAACCCCAAAAAGGAAAAAGATATTATATGAACGTCTCACAAATGGTTAGTACTAAGCTCTTTCCTGATGATTGAATATTCTTTCATATTTTTGTATATTGTAAGGGATTTTCTCCCCAAATATATAATACCTTCCTTATAAACGATCTACTTTCTTTGAATACAAGTATATTTTACATTTTAGGAAAAAAATTTATTTTTTCAAATTTATCTTATAACAATAGAGATTTATATATGTGTGTGTCAATATAGGCTTTAGTGGTATAAAATTGGGTAGATTTTGTTTTATTTTGAGTAAAAAATTCAAAAAATACTACCTCATTTTGCGTGCAAAGGAATAGTCAGAGCTATTTAATAACATTTTACGAATGAACTATGGAATTACTATAACTTTTGAAGAAATTTCAAAGTTAATAGAAGATTGTATTTTAGAAATCAGCTAAAAGAATGATGTGCACATCAAGCGTTAAAGTATCCTAATCAGAATATAGTAATATACAATGATTAGCAAAGCAGATTTGAATCGGCAAGAAGAGTTGCTTAAAAAATCAGTTGAGTCTTCTCTAGTTTCCACACTCCTATTCCTGTTTAAAAGGCTATTCCTATTTCCAGTTTTTGGTGCTTTACTATGATAACCAAATTGATTTGGTTATCATAGAAAAGAGACCATTATCATGCTTAGAATTAATTATGTTTAGGGTCGGTTTTATTGGAATAAGGAAGTTTATAATACGTGAACACTTGTTTCCTCATCGAAAAGTCATAACGCATAAAGTCGATGTTTCCTTAGTACAAAAAGTGACATATGACGCTTAACTCTTTATTCCAGATAATGACCATATTTATGGGATTAAAAAGTTTAGGAAGCTTCTCCCCAATATTTATTATTAAATTTGAAAAAAACACTTTTTTTTAAAAAAAAATTCGGGCTATTTATCTTATATATATATTATACAATGATTTGACATATATAGTATAATAGAAATATCATAAAAACTAACATCCA